GTTCTAATTCACTTCGTAATTTAAAATTTTCATTAATACGTATATTTTGAAGTGCTGGACAGACAAAAAGGAAATGGCGAACATTTTCATCAGAATTTAAATCGCAAATTATACATTTTTTATTACTACTTTCATTCCAATTTGAGGTTCTATCATTTAATGGCAATAATAAAATTATTAGCATCAATGAATGATATTGAAGTGACAAGATGGTGATTATTCAATAGAAATTTCAGTGAAAATGATATTAAATAACACAAATAAGTAAGTAAGTAATAATAATACCTTATTTAGTTTACTAGTACAGTAGAACTCCTACTTTGGGACACCCCTATTAAGGAACACCCCTATTAAGGGACACTTTTTTAGTCATAAAACGAGTGAAAGTATATATTTTAACACTAAAGCCAACACCTATTTAGGGGACAGCCCTATGCGGACACTTTTTTGGTCCCGAATGTGTCCCCTTAGTAGGGGTTCTACTGTATTTTTATCAATACTATTTTAGTTAATGATAAAAATATTCTATATCACATGTTTGTCGATATCTTCATTCTCATGTTCGTATACAAATAAACTTATTCTGGACCTACAACATATTCATAAAACAAATACTATAAATAAGGCAGTATAAATAATAATACCCCCTTGCTAAATTATAAAGAACATCTTTTTTTCATATGTTTTGATTTAGATGATACTGATATTGGCGAAATGTTACAACTGATTTGTATAAGAGCAAATTTTGAACAACCATTTAATCTTCATTGAATGCTGAAAAAAATTCTCCTCTCTCAATTCTCATCATCATCTTCATCAGAGTGTCTATGGCGATGTTTTTTCTTCTTCTTTTTGCGATGTTTCTTTCTTTTCTGTAGCATTTCATCATCACCGCATAGTTCTTCTTCCTCTTCTTCACCCGTATTGTGCTTTTTCTTCTTATGTTTCTTGTGTTTCTTTTTTGGTGCTTCTCTAACCTCACTATTGGGAGATTTTGAAGCATTTGTCTGCAATTCAACAAACATTTCACGGTCTGATGGTGGTGTATCTTTTAGAACAGGCTGACTGATTTCTTCTGCTGGTGCTTGATCTCCGTTTGGAGTTGCTTTGTCAGGTTTTTGACGATGCCCTCTGGTTCTGACTGGGGCAGCCTGCATTGGTTGATGAACTCCATTCAATTGCTCCACAGCATCTGAATTATTGACTGCAATCAGAGGAGGTAATCTTTTAGTAGGAGCTGGTGACTGTTTTGCAGGTGTTGTGTGCTGTATTGCAGGTGGCCCTACCACAGACTCCAACAAAGGTGGCTTTTCCACGGTTTGTTTCTGAGAAGGTGGATCTTGTACAGGTATAGCATTCTGTTGTGGTTCATCATAGCCTGGTGGCGGCGATTCCTCCAGGTTTTTTACTTTGACAGGCCTTCTTGGGTAGGCGTATGGTGTTGGGCCAGTAGGTAATCCAATTCGAGGAACGTGTCCATGGTGACCATAAACACTGTCGTTGTATTTTGACTCAGGGTTCAAACCTGGAGAATCGACATCATCGCAACTAGAGTCAGAAGAATCTGCAGAGAACTGTTGGTGTTTCTGACTGTCATCTGCAAAATTAATAATAATAAAAAAAAGTAATCATTAGGGATAGAGGGTCTTATCTTGCCTCTCTTCAGAAATGGTTGCAACATTAATATTATCAAATTTGTTAAAATTGATTGTTTGATATTAGTTTCTTGGCAATACCAGGGGTCCCAAGTCTCTGCAAGTCGCAAAGCCCCCACATTCCCGCAGGCAAGCAAGGATCTCCAGAAAATAAACTCTCTGCCAATTCATAATCATGTTTTTAGTCAGTGCCAATAGGTATCACCATGCGCATACAGTTTTTAAACTGCAATTTTCATCAAATAACAATGTGACCACTATGAGATGTTAGCCTGGGTTTTAAATTATGTTGCAAGCATGCAATTGAAACAAAACAATGAGTGAATGTTAAAATGAACACAATATACTTCAGTCAGTAGTGGATCAAGGAATTCAAAGAAGAGGGGCCCAGAGAAGGCATTTACATGGACGGCCTACACCTCAGGCCCAGCATGGTTGGGACTGAGGTGTTAAGAAAATTTATTATTACGGCACATCTAGAATGCCGGAAATTGCACTCTTGGACTTAAATTTGAATATATTTAATTTTCGTCTCCATATTTTTTTAGAATTTTTAAAAATTTAGGGAGCACATGCCTGCTTCTCCAAGGCCCTTGCATACGCCACTGTCAATGAAATACCATTCAAAATGTCTTGACTATGGTAATACTATGTTGGGTATACCATGCTGGATGTTAAAAAATAATGCATATAATTGGCAATAATGGAATACCCAGTAAATTAAAATTAAAATCCTACAGCAGTACTGAGTACTTGACTTCACAGCATCTCCTTTATAACAGTATGTTACTGGCTACTGCAGCAGCAGAGATATACGTCATCATAATTGGATTGGATTTACTGGGTGTCATGGACACCATGGATGCCAAAGACTTATTTTTAGTGGAGTCCTTTTGGTGGTAATGGAGGCAGTACATCTGGGAGACAATCTTTTCCAAAGAGTGTAGGCCTACCGAGTTCTTTAATGCTAATGACTGAGAGTTAATTGCTGTCAGGATATGAGGGTTGTTCATTCCACAGCTTGCCAAAGCACGCACTAGTGAAACAGTGATATTTTTCTAGGCTGAAGATGTGATATTTTATTAGGGTAGTCAAGCAGGCACTGCATATTCAATTATGGGAATAAAATGAGGATTGCGCTACGTGAAACATAAATGTTTTCTAAAAGATGGTGTGCTTTTATATTTTAATTATTAGGATAAAGATACTGATATATTTAACAATATGATAACATGCATTTGATATAGTGTATGATTAAAAACAAATGTGACCACTATGAGATGTTAGCCTGGGTTTTAAATTATGTTGCAAGCATACAATTGAAACAAAACAATGAGTGAATGTTAAAATGAACACAATATACTTCAGTCAGTAGTGGATCAAGGAATTCAAAGGAGAGGGGCCCAGAGAAGGCATTTACATGGACAGCCTACACCTCAGGCCAGCATGGTTGGGACTGAGGTGTTAAGAAAATTTATTATTACGGCACATCTAGATTGCCGGAAATTGCACTCTTGGACTTGGATATATTTAATTTTCGTCTCCATATTTTTTTAGAATTTTTAAAAATTTAGGGAGCACATGCCTGCTTCTCCAAGGCCCTTGCATATGCCACTGTCAATGAAATACCATTCAAAATGTCTTGACTATGGTAATACTATGTTGGGTATACCATGCTGGATGTTAAAAAAAAAAAGGATATAATTGGCAATAATGGAATACCCAGTAAATTAAAATTAAAATCCTACAGCAGTACTGAGTCCTTGACTTCACAGCATCTCCTTTATAACAGTATGTTACTGGCTACTGCAGCAGCAGAGATATACGTCATCATAATTGGATTGGATTTACTCGGTGTCATGGACACCATGGATGCCAAAGACTTATTTTTAGTGGAGTCCTTTTGGTGGTAATGGAGGCAGTACATCTGGGAGACAATCTTTTCCAAAGAGTGTAGGCCTACCGAGTTCTTTAATGCTAATGACTGAGAGTTAATTGCTGTCAGGATATGAGGGTTGTTCATTCCACAGCTTGCCAAAGCACGCACTAGTGAAACAGTGATATTTTTCTAGGCTGAAGATGTGATATTTTATTAGGGTAGTCAAGCAGGCACTGCATATTCAATTATGGGAATAAAATGAGGATTGCGCTACGTGAAACATAAATGTTTTCTAAAAGATGGTGTGCTTTTATATTTTAATTATTAGGATAAAGATACTGATATATTTAACAATATGATAACATGCATTTGATATAGTGTATGATTAAAAACAAGTTAATTTACCATGATAAATAATGGTTAATTGTGAAGTAGGTATAATGATAAAAACAAATTGTATGCAACCATGTTGCAATGTGGCGTTAGTGGTGTTTTAATTATGTTTACCTATATACTACCATGCTCTTGTGTTTCGTTCCATTTGCTATTTTCTATGACTGTGCAAGTCCACAAAAGAGAAAAAAATTCATTAAATTGCAGTGATGTGACTTAAGTGGCAATGTGTTGAGGTTCCACCTCAAGATGATGGGTTTAATTGCCTGAGTGCCTGGGCAATTGTGACATGTATTACTAATTAGCAACATCTGTCTTGAAGCAGATTTTGTACAGTATGGTGTGATGTTTCATAACCGTGCTGTTTCAACACATACAACACTTTCAAATGGTCAAATGGATACTACACTTTTATAACATCATTCAATACAAATGATTAATGGAATATTACATCAACATTTGTTTTAAAATAAATCTAACACTTGGATTTGTCTATATATAGTTACAATTGCCTGAGTCGACTGTGCCTAAGTCGAATAACTTCTAAGTCAATCTTATTTTACATGCCAAATTGTTGTGTTTTCCATTAATTAACAATTAAAATTAACAAATTTTACACGTAAAACCTTCTCGAACTTGTTGAAGAACGCTCTTTGTAATTTTAACTGTTACATGATTGAACAATTAAGTCCTTGTAATTTTTATACTATGTGTTTATATGTTGTGCAGTATATTGACTTTAAGGACTGGTTGATTGTTTGAAGCATGTATTTAATGTCATTGGTACAACTAATAACAAAAAGCTATTTATTTTTGGATATTGTGGATAGTCTGTTTTGGATTTAAACACAAGAGTATAGGGATTGTTTATCATGAGGATTCAGTATGATTATGTAGTAATACAGACTTTTTATCACTCATGACATTCTGAGAAAGAATTTAAAATAATAGCTAATTTTAAGGGAAATATTTATTCAAAATAATGTAGAATATAATGAATATTGCTTATTTATTATAAATTACTGATTTAGTCTTGAAAAGCATTAAAAATATTATATTTGATTATTACTATTTATTGAGTAAATTGTAACAGTACTTGTTTTAAGAACAGTAACTAGAGTTTTATGTCAATTGAGTAATAGAAGGTTGTTGTCACAAAAAATAATTCTTGAATAATTTAGGATATGAACCGACTCAAGACTTTGAGATTGGTAGATTATGAAATGTACTGTGCAATGAACATATAAACTCAGGTTATTATGAATTAGAATATTCTAAAGTATGTGAACTAATAATGATATTAAAGTGTACTAAATGAAACCCTTAATTTGTATATACTGATTTTTGTTAATACAGTTTTTCCATTTCAAAATAAAGTTATTATTATTATTATTATTATTATTATTATTATTATTATTAATATTATGGTGCACTTTGATAAAATATTTCTTACTATTCTTATTATTTTTATTATTATTATTATTATTATTATTATTATTATTATTTTACTAAATTATTCTCTATTGTTAAAATTTGAAATTCTGTAGCCTGTAAAATATAAGAAGTAATTTAAAATATTCAACAAAGCAGGTAATAGACTTAAAAGCATAAGAACAATTTATATTGGATTATATTGTATGTGTATTATATTGTATTGTATTGAATTGTATTGTATTCTACTACAATACATGCAAAAACTTATTGTATAATATTATAATGAAATACATAATTTGGTATATAAGAACATGGTTCAAAAATAAAGGGAAGGTGTGCTATTTGTACAGTAGTTTGTAATTGTTATTTGATTTTATACTGTATATAGATCTGAAATTCTGAAATAAAGAAAAACATGAATGATATTATTATACATAATAAAGATGTGGACATTCTCGACTAGCAAAGTGACATAATGCAAATCATTTTTGTGTTGTACGTGCGGTCCATTGATTACAATAGTTAATGCATAGCACGAAATACACATTATTATTAAAACCATACTTCATCATTTAGTTACTCTCACATTGCTAATAGCCTTCAAGGACTACAATCATACCTCTAATTCTAATATCTTTGTCACCTTTATGATTTTCTGTCTCGCATTGATTGTCGACCTTGTGCATTTCTATACCAGGAGAAACCCTTGTCTTGCTTCCATGCCCGTGCCTTCTTTTTAGCTCCTCTATTTCATCACTAAGTGAAAAAAAAATTATTTACTGCAACAAAATATTATTATTAGTTCATTATTCTAATAATATTGATTAAATATTTGATAGTATTTTGTATAATTTTTGTATTGTAATAATATTGTAGCTAACCGCCATGGCGAGAATGGCAAAAACGATGACAATACAGTAAATTATATTAATAATCTAGTGCGCTCTGTTGTAGCGGTATACCATCTTTTCATTGTAATTAACTGTATCATCATCATTCCACTCAATAATAATGATAATAATAAAGATCTTCTCTGACCATTTTTTTTTTACTAGCAATCACTATCATTGTCAAATAGCATTATCCTATCAACACCACAGCCAACCAATCATCACCACTGACATCATTATCAAATATTATTGACAACTATTATAATAATAATAATAACAATAATAACAATAACAATAACAATAATAATAATAATAATAATAATAATAATAATAATATGATTTATAAGGGCCTTTCTACAATGATTAAGGTGCTTCCCAATAAGCACACCTCTGCACATCATGTCATCATGCATCTCATTTGCAGGCCAACTTGAAAATCAATGGTTTATTATTTTTTTTTGGCAAACATTTTTCCCCCAAAAAATTTTTTGCCCTTAATACTTGCATGATGTTTCAAAGATTTAATAAATTATTTCAAGTAGAGGGTGCACTTGCTTCGCTCACTTACCCTCTGGTGTGTGAATGTCGCGTGCTTGGTTACCATGTGACTGTCACAATTAGTTTCGAAAAAGAGAACAATAGGACCACTAAAAGAATATATGATGCATGATAGAATGCTATCTCGCTCAATTTATTTTCTTTACATAATGTCAGAAATGCAGTGGTAGTTCAGGTACCAGGTTTTGATAGCAGTTTCATATAATTTTTATAAATTTTCATGACATGTCATTGACAGTCGGCTAATCTGGTGGAAAACGACTGTTTTAAGTCATAATTTTTTCCCTCAATTAAGCTGACATTTGGAATTGTATTCATTTTTAAATGAGATGACTTCGATGATCTATGTTTTGAATCCCACACGTTGTCTAAGGCCCTCGGTTGACTTGTTTCTTATTGCGATTGTAGGCTTTGAAATAAGCATAATTATAATATAGATTTCTTGACCATGGACTATAGCCCAGTGGTTACCATTTAACCAGCAAATGAGAGTGACTGATGGTTGACCATACTTCAGAATTAAGTATAGAGGTTGTCTGTACTAAATCCTAACCGATGAACCCTGATTTAAAATATTTACAATGTACTTTGAACACAATCATTTTTTAATCTTATCATAAGGATAAGGTTATTTTGAATACTCCCATTTTATAGATAACAGAACATAACATACTGTGTTTTTTCACATGCGTAGACTACTATTAACAAAATCAGAAACACAATAAATGTAATTGGTAAGACAATCTTCTCCATTGAGTAATCAACTCCTCCAGCAATCAATTCGCCATCAATAAATGATGTTGTAAATCCCAATGAAGAGTTCAATTCAGCCACTCCACTTTCAGTCATATCTAGAAAATATGAAGAGTAAAAAAAAAAATTATTTTCAGATATTAAAACAGGGAGAAAGAAACCAGAAAAAAAGTAATTTGGAACTCTGACCAAAAATGTTATTTCCTAGCACCTTATACAAATAATTAATCAATTTAATGTTAATTTCTACACCATATGCATTGACTATAGTCAAATAAACTTACAAACATTATCGCTGTAAATGACTTTTAATGTTAAATTGTCATAATTTATGTTGCATGCTTTCATCATGCTAGAAAAAGCACTAGATCGATGGATGGATGGATTTATTCGGTATCAAGGACAACCCACTAAAGTCTAAAAAAGATATATTTCCAGTAGAGCCTTTTGGGTGGTGATTGAGCATTACACAGGGAAACAATCCCAGGGGTCTCATGCCTCCCACAATTAGTGGGAGTCTCCCAGAAATTGGGACGGCCTCCCGCACGCAAGCAACAATCTCCCAACATAACCCATTCTCCTGCAAATTTATAATATTTGCATGTTTTTACTACATTGTCATTAATTGTCTCACGGAAGTCAATGCCGATGGCTATCACAATGTACAACAAAATCAAATTAAATATATTTAACAAAGCGCCAAGATAAGATCAGATAAAATTATGCAAATTATGCACAAAATTTAGAGAGAAGATGCAGTTGTTTTGTTTTTGGCTTGAAATGGCCCTATAAAAGGCTTGGGAAGAATTATTTTTGGGCTTATATTTAACCCAGAATGCTGCTGGGTGAATATTACAACCAGTAGTAATAACTGCAATGACCAAATCCTTATCCATTGTCAACTAGTATCCATAACAAAACATACAATTCGGTACAATTCAGTAAAAATATGTAATAATTAAGTAATGGTTGCCTTGGTCATAAAATTTATGACCATTTAATGAGCTATAGTACACAGACAATGAAATTCAATAATGCAAAATACGATTTACTGTACAAATTTCTGCTGTAAAAAAATGTAATTTACTTTAAATAAAGAATTCTTATTACTGGATATAAAGAGAAACAAAGTAATCGTTTTAGAAATAAATACAGGAGGCCCTTGACGATACACTTGGTAGAAAGACAGATATAATACAGCAGTAACAAATAACTAGCAACAATAACAATAATAACCTACAGTTACTACATATCTCTCTTTTGGCCTCTTATACACAAATATAATAAATACAATTTTTTATTGGTTTTCATAATTCTCCTTTTTCAGTATGCTATAAAACATAAATGGTATATTGTATTGATGTTTTGTAATACAGTAATAATAATGGTCAACATATAGAGCGTATATTATGGAGACCTCTATGCACTTAACATAATATGAACAACCGTACAAAGAACTAAATATTTAAACTAATCCTATTCTTTAAACTAAGCATGGTTTGGCCGTTGGCTCAGAGGAGTTCATCCGCCCTTTGATCAGCTTTTATACTGCCCCACCATGACAAAAGAAGCAACTGATGTTTGCATTGCTTTGAGTAATTAAGGAATATGGAGCAAGTTGATTTGTCCCCTGCTTCCTTTTCTGGTGTTTTTTCTTAATGATCTTTTTTTAGGAATAAATTTTATTGTAATTTTTTTTATTTGACTTGAATTTTTCATTGCTCATGAGCGTGTGGTCTTTTGTAATTGTTGCAATTTTTATATTGTATACCTTTCGCATGTATATATACTGTGTTGTGCTTTGTTCTGTTAATGTTGTTTGTCTTTACTTAATTCTGTTTAGATTGACGCAATTCAGTTCAATACTGCAATGTCAATTTTTGTTGTTCTTAATAATAAACCAGAATGAAATGGTGGTTGTTACTGTATTTTTAGTCTCTTACTTCCTTTTTGTGTTGCTAATTACTTGTTAATTAGTGGTATTTGAGCATACTCAAATATATCAATATGTTCTAAATTATTAGTTCTTTGATAGTGACTAAAAAACTCATTTTTGAAAAATTGTCAGTTACTTCCTTTTGTCATGGTGGGGCAGAATATGCGAACCTACTTCGTTGAAAGTAGGTTTTGCAAACTCATGGTTATCATGTTAACGTATATTTAAACTTAAAGTATACAGGTTAACACATTATTTGCAAAATAAAGCTTAGAGTGCAAAATGTGTACAGTAGATTATACGTTTTTTTTTTAAGGTAATGGTTAAAATGTAAACATACATTAAACATTGGAAGTAGGTTCGCATATTAATAGTTATCATGTGCATGTAAGTTTAACCATAAATAATGTTAACACATAGTTCACGAAATAACAATTATAATTCACACATATTTGTAACGTTGAATGTGTACAATGTAATGGTTAAAATGTAAAACATATTTTAATGTTAAAAGTAGGTTCGCATACCTGGTCGCATACTAACTGTTATGTGAACGTATATAAAATCCTAAATAAACGTTAACACATGGTTTGCGAAACAATGGTTAGAATGCAATTTATCTATAGTAAATTTATGTATTCAAAATAAGACTGGATCGCCTTCCATTGCATATGTCACTATATTGTAGAGTGAATGAATTTATAAACTTGTAGTTCATAAAGGTGAGACAGCAAGAACTCCGTAATGATAAATTAATGATCATAAAATTATGAACATGATTTGAAAGCTGGAGTTACACTCTATGCTGTGGAAGTGAAAATTGGAATCATGTGTTGAAAATTCCTGTGTAAAATAACATGTGTTAAGATTTACTTCAATTATAATAATTTATTTCATTTGGAAATGTGGAAAAATCATTTGGTTTGTAATTTAAATCAACACTTAAACACAAACGTTAATGTGACGTTAGAGCGTTATTGTACCGTTTTATAGTAACCAAAATTTAACATTGTGTTAACGTTAAAATAACAAATATTAGGTTGGTAACATTAAACTGACCATTCCAACACCAACGTTAATGTGACATTAGATAGTGTTATTGCACCGTTTAATAGTAACCACAATTTAACGTTCTGATAACATTAGATTAAAAAACATATTAACGTTCAAACAATGTTAGGTTGGTATTAACGTTAAACTAACCGTTCAAATACCAACGTTAATATGACGTTAGAAGAGCGTTATTGTACCGTTTAACACAAACCAAAATTCAATGGTAACGTTAATGTTACAAACATATTAACGTCTAAAAAAAGTTAGGCTGGCAACATTGAACTAACATTCAAATGCCAACGTTGATGTAATGTTAGAATGCCATTAATTCTCTGTTTAAGAGTAACCAAAAAATTAATTTTCAAACATGTAACGTTAAAAATACGTTAGATTGGGAGCGCCAAACCAACGTTCAAACACCAACGTTAATGAAACATTAGAATAACATTTATTGATAACCAAAATATCACATCGTAGAAACAATGTGATATTGGTGTAACGATAGAGTGGTAACGTTAACCCAATGTTCAAATACAAATGTTACTGTAATGTTAGAATAACGTTATTTTACAGATCAGTAGTAACCAAAATGTAACGTTGTGCGAACACAAGTAGATTGCCGTTGAGTAAACGTTGAAGTGGTAATATTAAACCAACATTCAAACACCAACGTTAATGTAACATAAGAATAATGTTTATTGTTAACAAAAATATTGTGGAAACATTATTGTAATGAGCAAACAACGTTAACTTTACAACATTTAATGAACGTATGTGGTAAACGTAAAATCAACATTAATCTGTGTTTATTCCACTGAATATATAGCAACGAATTCCACACGCAATGATTGGCTAAGGTCAGTCAACAGGCCTACCACCTAAGGCTATGTTCACACACACACGGCGTAAGACTGGCGTAGCTTACGCCAGGCGTAAGCTAATTCACGGATTAAAATTCCAAAGTGTTCACAGAAACGGCGTTCGCTATATTAACGCTGGCGTTAAACTAGTAGTAATATAGGCCTATGGGGGAATAGTTTTAAGTTTTAAATAATGTACGGGTTCTTAACTGTAGTAAAATTAACAGTGCATCAGTAAAACATTTAAATCTGTGAATTGTTCGAAGTGAACTTATAATATGATTATTGTATTTTAAATGAACAATTTTGCTTTGATTTTTCAGCTAGCATTGTTGGTGTTGCAGGTTTTAATAGACAGTCTAAATATGTTAAAATATCTTACAAAACACAATCAACAAATCATATACATTATATTAAAATGCAATAGAAAAAGAACCCCTTTACTATTTCATTTATAGAGAGCACAGAAAAGAGACCAAAGTAGCTAATATTGCAATCGTGATTGGTCAATCTCTTGAAATGAGGTAAAACCATTCAAGCATCACTGGCGTTAGCTCAGTGGCGTTAGCTAATCTGGGGTCTGCAGGTAGTGTTAATAACGTCAAGGACGTGGCGTAGTGAGTGGCTTTAACAACGCCACTGCCCAGTTCACACACAAAGGCGTACGCTACGCCATGCTTAAGCCAGCCTTACGCCGTGTGTGTGAACATAGCCTATGGCCAGCTATAATACCGTTTGACCTCGCATTCCAATGTTAAGTTTTTTGTGTCTCTGATTTGGTCTGAATGTGCTTGTTGATTGCGATTGGGAGTAATCAGTTTTGGATTACTACGATTACATTGCAACCGATCGCAACAGAGTGTAGTCTGAATAGGGTATAAGACTTACAGTACGTCTATACTGTAATTACTATATAAACAAAGTGACGCACACTTACTTATAAGGGAGGATTTTCTTATCACATAAAATGGCTGTGCTCCGGGAAAAACTGTCTGTATTCCGGTCAATTTAATATAGAATTCAACTTTAATATAGCCATTTGCAAAGCTGGGAGTACTGTCAGTGAAAACAACATTGCTTTCCTTGAAAGGACTGAAAGAACAAAATAATCCTTAATTAGAATTTGGTTGCCAATAAGAATTAATTTCATTTTCCTTTTTCATGCTTCTACATATTATGAAATATAATGCTTAAATGGTGTTAATCTATTGTGACTAATGTATAAACCTATAAAATTTTAATGTGATGACAGTAATCTATAATTATTGTATCTTCCTACGTATTTTACCTTGAATTTAATTTACTAAACGTGCAACAAGGAAGGTCTTGTTAGCATTTATGGAAAGTTATAATGTCTAGATTAACACTAAGATGGATATGACCTGAAAATGGCTAAATCAATCTTGTTAATAGACTGATTGGCTTTACTTTGTTTTTAATAATCTTATAATTCATTATATTTATTTCAATTATAAAGTAGAATTTTTTAAAATCCACTTAGGTAGGCTTTCGTATACTTTAAAATGTAAATAATTATTTTTACAATGGAACGGTTTTATAATTAAGCTAGTTTATCAAGTGAAAGCCATATACAACCTAGTACAGACACATCATTTCTATACTTTACTGTACTTTAATGCAGTAATGCGAGATAATTATCTTGAAGTAATTACTATCAATTAAACCTGTCACAGAGTTGCAAATATATTTTTCTTCCAAGGAACAATGATTTAATGCTTTAACCATGTTCATTCATACTTTTTTTGCTGACAGAGCAGTATACAGTATTATTGACTGACTGAACACTGATTGACTACATAATTTCAGTCAATAATATAATAAATTACATTTCAAGATAAACATCAAAGGAAATGATGTACAGATTCCAAGTACAGTATTGTCCTGTCATGATACCCCAACACATCTTTGTTTTGATATGCATAGTCTGAATTTCAAGACTAACTTCAATATTTGTGACCAGCTGTTCATCAGAAAAAAAATCAAAATTGAGTTTGTGCTGTTTTAATATTTTGCATGAATTCTTTTTTAAAGCAATGTATATTTGATGGAAATTGGTTGAGTATAGCAAGGTTATGAATATTTAATTCATTGGATATCAGCCAAGTAGGTTTTTAGAAAACAGCTTCCAAAAATTCCAAAATCAATAGTTTATTATTAATATTTTTATTTCAAAACCGATTTTTTTTTTAGCATACTTCTCAGTTACGTAGGATTTTGTGGTTGAATTTTGCAGAAATGTTCTTCAATATATCTTCTTTTATGAAATGCAAAACTGAAAATTTTCAAAAATCTGATTCTATATTCGTTCTGCTTGTGTGAAAATTAGAAATTGCAACAGATTTTTCCAGAACCAGTCACAATTCTCTCTATTTATAAACTCATTTCATTTTATTTATTTAATCAACCAATAATTGCAGTGACAATAAATACAAAATGTGAAAATAACAGAAATTGAAATGCTGGACTGGGGTGCTTTAAGTAAAGTATTATAAGCTAGATGATTTAGCTACCCTTAAAACAACACTATTAACACTAAAAGTAATAGGCTACATGGTTTTGATAGCAGTTTCGTAACTTTTTTTTGGTCCACAAGTTGTGTCTGACAGGACTTGAGGGTCCCGTCTACGCTCCAACCACCTCTCATGATCACATCCTCCAGGAGGAACTCCTGTTAAGGTTTTGTTTCCACGGTTAAAGATGTACTAGCAATTGTTCTTCCAAGAATGATTTCCTTATTATATCTATAAATTAAACTGTCACTTTCGGATAAAAATCAAACCCAAAAGCCTTATTCTGAATGACTCATGCTTACAACTTCCTTATTGGAAACATTGAAAAATAAATTGTTTATGCAAATTCACTACTAAGGCAAACATTTTTGAATATGGACAAATTTGTACCAAAAGTAATACTTTGTCTAGAATGTCGAGCACCCTGTTCCCAAGTGATATATTATTATTATTATTATTATTATTATTATTATTATTATTATTATTATTATTATTTATTTAGGCACATAATACATGTGCCAAGGATTGCCAATAGCGAATATATCACTGTCCTACTTGTAGGTGACAATCCCTTTCACAAGACAAACATACACTCATGATGCTTACACAAACTAAATCTCAATATGAGATTTAGGGAGTGGAGTTGTTTTGGTCGTGAGAAGAAATCCTGCAACCCTGACAGGAATTGAACCCAGGACCCTGGGATTGGAAGGCAAGCATCTTAACCACCAAGCTATTCAACTCCACTACTGTACTCTTCACTGCACTGTATGCCTTCATCAAAGGCCAGTCTGCATTTCCTAGAAAGTGTAAACTACTGTAGACATTAAAATCTGGTTTCCATTTATAGACACCAAGTGGCTCTATCTGCAGGTCCTCAGCATCTAGCAATCTGCATTTCTTATTGCAATTGCAACTAGATATTAAAACCAGATTTCTATTTATAGAAAACAAGTTCTACTGTATACCAATGGCTGATTGTGTGTTACCATGGAGGTACTGCAACTTAAGCATGCCACACCACAACAAGTCATAATCCACTTGGATAATATATGACGTCATCATAATGATTAAAAAGGTACAGTCTCTTTAATATTGAAAAAGGACCATTTGTTGAAGGGCTATGATTGATATGATTATGACAACAGTGCTCAACTAATTATAGAAACATAGAAA